AGTCACTATGCTGTACATTTCCTCCCCATGACTTATTTATTTTATACCTGGAAGTTTGTGCCTTTTGAGTCCCTTCACTCATTTCACCCACCCCACATGCCCAGCCTCTGGTAAACACCAATCTGTTCTCTTTATCTATGACTGTGGGGGGTTTTTTTTTTGTTTTTTTTAGATTCCACTTGTAAGTGAAGTCATGCAGTATTTGCCTTTCTCTGTCTGACTTACTTCACTTAGCATAATGCCCTTAAGGTCCACCCATGTTGTCACAAATGGCAAGATTTTGTTCTTTTTATAGCTGAATAATATTGCATTGTGTATATATATATATATATATATATATATATATATATATATATACCACATTTTCTTTATCCATTCATTCATCAATGGACATATAGGTTGTTTCCATATCTTGGCTAGGTAAGTAATGCTGCAATGAACATGGGGTGTATATATCTTTTTGAGTTAGTGTTTGCATTTTCTTCACATAAATATGCAGAAGTGGAATTGCTGGATCATACAGTAGCTCTATTTTTAATAACTGTTTTCCATAATGGCGGCACCGGTTTACATTTCCACCAACACTGCACAAGGGTTCCCTTTTCTCCATATCCTCATCTGCATTTGTTATCTCTTGTCTTTTGGATAATAGCCTTTCTAACAGGTGTGAAGTGATATCTCACTGTGTTTTTGATTTGCATTTCCCTGAAGATTAGTGAAGTTGAGCATCATTTCATGTACCTGTTGCCCATCTGTATGTCTTCTTTGGAAAAATGTCTATTCAGATCTTCTGTCCATATTTTAGTTGGATTGTTTGTTTTTTGCTATTGAGTTGTATGTGTTCTTTATATATTTTAGATATTAACATATCAGATATATGATTTAAAAACATTTTTCCCATTCAGTACATTGCCTTTTCACTTTGTTGATGGTTTCCTGTACTGTGCAGAGGCCTTTTAGTTTGATGTAGTTCCTTTGTTTATTTTTGCTTTTGTTGCCTTTACTTTTGGTGTCAAATCCAAAAAATCATCTCCAAGACCAATGTCAAGGAGCTTACCGCCTATGTTTTCTTCTATGAATTTTATGGTTTCGGGTCTTACATTCAACTCTTTAATCTATTTTAAGTTAATTTTTGTGTATGGTGTAAGATAGTGGTCCAGTTTCATTCTTTTGCATGTGGCTGTCCAGTTTTCCCAATACCACTTATTGAAAAGACTGTCCTTTCTCCATTGTATATTCTTGGCTCCTTTGTCATAAATGAATTGTCCGTATATGTGTGGGTTTATTTCTGGGCTCTCAATTCTGATTCATTAATCTGTCTGTTTTTGTACCATTACCATACTGTTTTTATTGGTATAGTAGCTTTGTAGTACAGTTTAAAATCAAGGAGCATGATACCTCTAGCTTCATTCTTTCTCAGGTTTGCTTTGGCTGTTCAGGATGTTTCATGGTTCCATAAAAAATTTTAGAATTATTTGTTCTCTTTCTGTAAAAACTGCCATTGGGTTTTTGTTTGCTTGTTTGTTTTTGCTGAGGAAGATTAGCCTTGAGCTAACATCTGTTGCCAATCTTCCTCTTTTTGTATGTGAGCCACCACCACAGCATGGCCACTGACAGATGAGTGGTGTAGGTCCATGCCCAGGAACTGAGCCTGGGCTGCCAAGGCAGCGTGCATCAAACTTATCCAGTAGGCCACTGAGGCTGGCACCATTGGATTTTTAATGGAGATTGCATTGAATATGTAGATTGCTTTGGGTAATATGTACATTTTAACAATATTAATTCTTCCAATCAATAAGCATGGAATCTCTTCCCATTTGTTTGTCTTCTTCAATTTCTTTCATCAATGTCTTATAGTCTTATAGTTTCTAAGGTCTTTCATCTTCTTAGTTAAATTTATTCCTAGGTATTTTATTGTTTTTGATGCAATTGTAATTGGGATTGTTTTCTTAATATCTCTTTCTGATAGTTTGTTATTAGTGTATAGAAATGCAACAGATTTCTATATAGTGATTTTGTATTCTGCAACTTCACTGAATTCTTTTATTAGTTCTAACAGATTTTGGTGGAGTCTTTAGGGTTTTCCATATATAACAGCATGTCATCTGTAAGTAGTGAGTTTTACTTCTTCCTTTCCAATTTGGGTGACTTTTATTTCTTTTTATTGCCTAATTGCTCTGGCTAGGACTTCCATAATTATGTTGAATAAAAATGATGACAGTGGGCATCCTTGTCTTGTTCCTGATCTGAAAGGAAAAGCTTTTAGCTTTTCACCATTGAGTATGAGGTTAGCTGTGGGCTTGTCATATATGGCCTTTATTATATTGAGGTAGGTTCTCTCTATACCCACATTGTTCAGAGTTTTTATCATAAATGGATATTTAATTTTGTCAAATGCTTTTTCTGCATATATTGAGATGAACATATGTAAGAAATAAATTTCTATCTTATTTCAGCTTTGTGAATTGCATAATAATAATTCTAACTGGTATCATCCCCAAACTCTCAACTATGCATTTTTCAATACAAACAATATTGGCTGACACTCCAAGCTATCATGTAGGGTTACTGAAAGAGCTCTCTTACTGTACATACAGATAAAACTACTCATCACTGAATAAAGCCATCCACATTCCCCTAGAATGAATAAAGACAGTATCAGTAATAGTGCCTTGCCTAGCCATATTGGATCCTGAGGCAAAAGGAAAAATCAGTAATACTGATCTTATCATTATTTAAAATTTGTGAGAGGGGAGACTGATGTCACCAAGATGGTGACACAGGTTGTTCCTGACTTCACTCTCCCTCACAAAAACAACTAACGACTATTCACAGACAAGACACCACTGAAAGAATCCTAGAACACAGGGGTGATGCTGAAACACCCAACTGCACCACAGAGACCAAACATATTGTATCAGAAGTGTAAGATGAGTGGCTACATGCTGGCTGCATTGTTCCTCCCACGGGCCAGTGCAACACCATGTGGAGAGGTATCCGCTGAGCCTATGGTTCCTCCAGTGGGAAAAGAGGATGTATGAGAGACAGCCAGCTTCCCTAGCACTATGGATCACTTCTTGGTAGCTCCCACTCTGGTCTCACCCCATGAGGGTTGCAAGGGAATCTGCAGGGCTCAGTCACTGGGAATCTGTGATGGAGAAGGGGGAGGGGCTTGCAAAAAGCAGCTCTTGGATCTAGGCAGGCCAAGTTCATACATGCAGAGCCCAAGTAGTAGTCCCAACCAGTGGCTTTGCTCATCTGCAGAGCCAAGTCCGTGGTGCAGTCTGACAAGGGATTGTCAGATTGCAGGGACTGTGGTCTGGCCCACTGCCGAGTGTAGCACCTGGGCTCATCTGGCCAGAAGGGCTTTTAAGAAGACTTGAAGTCTGCATAGCCCAGCAGTGCTCAGGTGGAGAGCCCAGAAGATGGAGCTGTTCACCCACAGAGCAGATCCTGTGCAAAGCATGGAATGTTCCACTGCTGTGCCCAGGCAACAGAGTTAATTCATAACCCTACCCACTGCTGAGTGTAGCTCCCAGGCCTTCCCAACCAGAAAGCCTGATTACAAAAATCAAGGAGGTGATTGGAGTTGGCCCTCACAACCCACCCCGCCCCAGGCAGGGGAGAAGAGTCATAGCCCTGCCCACTGCTGAGTGAAGCTCCCAGCCCTGTGTGACAAGAAATACTGCCAGAACACCTGGAAATCTGTGTAGGCCAGCAAAACTTGGGCAGAAAAACTGGCAGGCAGAGTTGATTGCCCACAGAGCAAAGGCAGTGCTGGGCATGGAGGGCTTTCCTGCTCCACCCAGGCTGGGAAGTTAATTCATAGCCCCACTTGCTGCTGAGGGTAGTTCCTGATGTGTCCTGACCAGAAAGTCTGATCATAAAAATTGGGGAGGTGATTGAAGCTAGCCTTCACCTCCTGCACAGGTAGGGGACCTGAGTCATAGCCTTGACTACTTGTGAGTGAAACACTCAGCCCACCCTGACTGGAAAGACTGGCCAGAACACCTAGAAACCTGCATATCTGAGCAACACTCAACAGAGATGCCAGCAGGTAGAGCTGACAATCTGGAGAGGAACTGGCCCTGTTAAACCGGGGACTTGGGCATGGGTCAGTTTGAGCCAAGAACACAAGCAAAGAGGCTTGCTAGCCTTGAGGCTGATTCTCCTGCTGTATCCAGGCAGGGAAACTAATTCATACTCCACTCATTACTGAATTCAGCCTTCAGCCTGTCTGACCATAGAACCCAACCAGAGCACACGGGAAGCTGCATAGCCAATCCAACAGCTTTTCTTAAATTGACACATGAATGAAGAGCACAGCCAGTAGTTTTCCCTGTCTGCAGAGCAAAACTGGTGGCCTCACCAAGCCACGGAATTCAGTGCACACTCTTGCATAATTCAGGTCCCCAAACAACAAACCTTGGGCCCCATCCTGCTGCTCTGCCAGAGCAAGGAAGCTAATTCATAGCTCCACTTACTGTGGAGTATAGTACAGTCTTGACCATCTAGAAGTCTGACCAGAGAATCCAGGCAACTGTGGATCCCATACTACAGCCTTTCTTGGGCAGAGAACCAAACCAGCAGTCCTATCCAATTGTTCTCAGCTAGGGGAAGCCCCCAACCCCTGACCTCAGAGCTTAAGCAGTGGCCTTACCCAAAAATAGATCCTGATACCAAGCCCCAATTGCCTGAGGACGTTATCAGCATACATGTCCAGAAACACAAACTGAGCTGACGGGTAAAGAATTGTCACTGCCAAGGTGACCCCAAAGTCTGGAAGAGCAGACAGCTTACTAAAATGTACAGATACTAATATAAGTAATTGAGGATCATGAAAAATCAGGTAAATATTACACAACCAAAGGAAACAAATAGCGCACCAATAACTGACACTAAAAAAATGGAGATCTATGAAATATCAGACAAAAATTTCAGAATAATCCTCTTTTTAAAATACAGTGAACTACAAGAACACACAGACAGACCGCTGAAAGAAATTGGGAAAACAATGCATCAACAAAACAAGAAGTTCAACAAAGAAATAGAAACCATCAAAAAAAAAACAAACAGAAATCTTAGACCTAAAAATTACAATGACTGAGCCAAAAAATTCAAGAGGGCTTCAAAAGCAGACTTGACATGCAGAGGAAAGAATCAATGACCTTGAAGATAGGACATTTGAAATTATCCAGTCAGAGGAGAAAAAAGAATAAAAAAGAGTGAAGAAAGCCTATGGGACTTATGGGACACAATCAAAAGAAACAATACCCACATTATGGGAATTCCAGGAGGAGAAGAGAAAGACAAAGGGACAGAAAGTATATTTAAAATAATAATAGCTAAAAATTTCCCACACCCAGGGAGAGAAATGGACATCCAGATCCACGAGGCCCAATGGACCCCAAATAGATTGAACTTGAATAAGGCTACATCAAGAAACATTATAACTAAATTGTCAAAAGTCAAAGACAAAGAAAGAATTTTGAAAGCAGCAAGAGAAAAGAGACAAGTTACATACAAGGAAACCTCCATAAGACTATATACAGATTTCTCAGCAGAAACTTTTCAGGCCAGGAGAGAATGGGATGATGTCTTCAAAATGTTGAAAGAAAAAAGCTGTCAACCAAGAATCCTATACCTGCCAAAGCTGTCCTTTGGAAATGAAGGAGGGATAAAGACTTTCCTGAACAAACAAAAGCTGAGAGAGTGCAATACCACCAGATCTGCCTTACAAGAAATGCTAAAGAGAGTTCTTTGAGTGAAAGTAAAAGAGTGCTAATTAACATCATAAAAACATAAAAAGGGAGCATAAAACTTACTGGTAATGGTAAATATACAGTAAAAGCTAGATTCCATAACATGGTAATGGTCGTGCATAATTCACTTACAATTCTAGTTTAAAAGCTAAAAAACAAACGTAAAAATAACCATAACTACAACAATCTGTTATTAGTTACATAACATAAAAAAATATGTAAACTGTAACATCAATAACCTAAAATATGAGGGGAAAAGGAAGTACAAGTGTAAAGTTTAGAAATTCTAATAAAGTTGTTCTCACTTTAAAATAGGGTATAATAATTTTAAGACATTTTATGTAAGCCTCATGGTAAACACAAGGGAAATAACCTGTAGCAATTACACAAAAGAACGTGATAAAGAAATCAAAATATATCAAAACACACAAAAAGTAGAGCAAGACAAGAAACTAGGAACAATGGATCTACAAAACAGCCAGAAAAAAAATACAAGATGACTATAGTAAGTCCTTAGCTATCAATAATTACTTTAATATAAATGGATTAAATTCTCCAATCAAAAGACATAGAATAGCTGAATGGATAAAAAATAAGATCCAATGATATACTGCCTAGAAGAGACTCACCTTAGCCTTAAAGACACTCATAGACTGACAGTGAAGAGATGGAAAAAGATATTTCAAGCAGATGGTAACCAAAAAAAGCAGGGGTGGATATATCAGACAAAATAGACTTTAAACTAAAAATGATAGAAAGAGACAAAGAAGGTCATTATGTAATGATAAAGGTGTCAATCCATCATCAAGAAGATATAACAAATTGTAAATATTTATGCACCCAACATCAGGGAACCTAAATACAGAAAGCAAAAACTAACAGGCCTAAAAGGAGAAATAAACAGTAAATACAATAATACAATTAATACAATACAATAATACAATAATAGTTTGGAACTTTAATACCCCATTCTCAACAATGGATAAATCATCCAGAGAGAGAATCAATAAGGAAACAATGGATTTGAACACCACTATAGAGTGAACAAATGGACCTAATAGACATATACAGAATATTCTATTCGACAACAGAGAAATGCACATTCTTCTCAAGTGCACATGGAACATTTTCTAGGACACATTGTATGTAAGGCCACAAAACAAACCCTAGCAAATTCAAGAAGATTGAAATGATACTAAGTATCTTCTCTGATGACAATTTTATGAAACTAGAAATCAATAACAAGAAAAGAAAACTGACAAATTCGTGAAAACATGGAAATTAAACAACACTCTCCTGAACAATGGGTTAACAAAGAAATTAAAGGGGAAATAAAAAAGTATCTTGAGACAAATGAAAATGGAAACACAACCTATCAAAACTTATGGGATGCAGCAAAAGCAATTTTAAGAGGGATGTTCATAGCAAGGAACGCCTACGTTAAGAAGGAAAAAGATCTCAAATAAACAACCTAATTCTATGCCTCAGTTTTCATTCAGAATTGAAGGAGAGATAAACAGTTAAGCAGACAAGCAGAAGTTAAAGGAGGGCCGGCCCCGTGGCTTAGCGGTTAAGTGCATGCGCTCCGCTGCTGGCGGCCCAGGTTCGGATCCCGGGCGTGCACCG